CTGAATCTATGACTATAATACGCGATCATGTCAAGAGACTCTGGATCAGCCTTGGACGGCTGGGCAAGAAACGCGCCACACCCATGTTCGGATGCATCCACATGAACTACGAATTCCCGATCGAAGTCTGGGAAGTGTAGAACGGGCGGTGAAGTTAAATAACCGCTTTAGATGAGCGAACGATGCGTCGTGCGATTTGTTCCGAGCTTTTACGAAACGTGATTTTGTGGCGTACTCTTTGCGAGTTAAATCCACCAACGGATTGGTTATTTCTGCATAATCCGGTATGAACCGGCGCACAAAATTAACCACCCCGAGTACTGAGCGAAGATCTTTTAGGCAACGAGGAGTAGGAAGGTTTTGGACGGCTTTGATACGATCCTTCCCGACAGAAATACCTTCAGCCGAAATAATATGTCCCAAATACTCGATGGACTTGGGGCCAAACGAAATCTTCGAAGGTTTCAATGTCAGACCTGCTGCTTGGAGAGCTACGAACATGCTCTCCAAAGACTTCATATGATTCTCGAAAGTTGCTGAAAGCACACAGAAATCATCCATGTAAATCAACAGTTCGGGAATATGACCTAACGTTTTATGGGCCATCTCAGTAAAAATCCATGGGGCATTACAAACACCAAACGGCATCCGCTTGTAACAGTACTTGCCAGAGTTGGTGACAAAGGCTGTCCTTTCGACGTGGTCAGGATGAGCAGGAATCTGCCAGTACGCTGACTGGACCTCTGCAACGCTGATGAACTTGGCGCTGCCGACAGAGTCAAGGTTGGACTCCATGTTCGCTAGAGGCCAGGTCTTGCGAATGAGGTGCTTGTTGACGGTGCTTCGGAAATCGACGCAAAAACGAGGTTTACCATCTTTACGCGCGACGAGAGTAACGGGGGAACCCCACTGACTAGGCAGCTCTTCGATGATGTCATCGTCAAGCATGTCCTTAACGCACGTTTGGATAACGGCTTCAGTGTGCGGGTTTGCGCGGTAGGGACGACGGTTAACCGGTTTTGTGTTAGGCGGCATAGGAAACGTGGCTTGAGCAGTTGTGCATTTACCAAGCTCCTTACGATTCAGCGAAAAAACGGGACGATATTTTGCGCACAGGTCCAAAATACGAGTCTGCTGTTCCTTAGTGAACGTGGAATTTGCGAACGCTTTCGACAGCGGTTCTACCAGCTCAGCTTTAGCAGCAGCAATTTCACTCGCGGTTTTTGGAGACAAGGCAACAGCATGGACGTGAAGCTGTTCCTGTGCTACCATAGTAATCGGCGATAAAGTTCCAATATCCAATCCAACATGTACGGCGAGATACTCAGCTGATGGATTCGCAATTTGGACAACTACCGAACCATCAACAGCACTCCATGTTGAGACGGTACGAGCCACGATTAAACGCTCAAATTCGGGCGGAACAGTATCGAACGAAAGTTCATTTGCCGACAAAATACGCGGCTCGACTACTACGGCGGTATCAACGGACGGTATGCATTCAGTAAATNTGGTACGACCAACGCATCGATTCGGCGGGACACGTCTCCCAACCGAACAACGAACGAAATAAATCCTAAAACTTTGACTGGTGCACCATTTGCGGCACTGAGTTTTAGGGACGGAGACGGTATTGGCTCTAAAAGAGCAAACGATAACGATGGGTGCTGTTTCAAAAACGAAAGTGAAACGCACGTGACGTCACTTGCAGTATCAATGGTGATTTCAGAAAGAAATTGACCATCGATATATCCAGAAGCGCGAACGCGTTTGGATGAAAAAGAGAAGGGACAGAGACGGTTTTTTTCGCGCCAGCGCTGAGCTGTACCACGAAACACGTTGTTTAATTCCATCCGACTTCCTCTTCCTCTTCTTACGCTCCGATATTTTTTTCGGTACGGCAACAATCCTGTCGGCCCTTGTTTTCTTGGCACTCTGACGGTCACGCGATGCCACAGGGGACTCTCTATCAACCACGTCTAAATCGTTTGCGTTCACTGAACGCTCCAACCTTCTATGTGGTTGTTCTACGACGGGGGACGCATATGCCTTATTTACAAGTCGATTTGCACTCTTGGACACGATCTATAACTCGGAGTAACGACATAGACGAACGCGCAAGTGACGCAAAATGATCAAAAGATCTTTTCACGCCCCTTCTGCAAACTACTACGGCAGCAGCAGATTTCTTCCCAAGTATTGCGGGCACAACACCTGGGCACCCCTATTCGGAGTCCGACGAATCGTCCTTCTGCTTTCGCCGACGATCTTTACGGGACCGCTTCGATGCGGAACGAACCTGACGCTCTTCTTCCTCCGCGATCCTCACCCAGCAGCGCTCGATCGGGTGAGTCTTGTGCGACCGACAGGAGGGGTGGGTGCACGGATCGAACGACGGCCGACGCTGACCACCCCCTCTACCCGAACCTCGGCCACGAGCTGCGAGCGTTCCTCGGTGTTGTGTCGGCGGACGTGCCGTGGGTGACTTCCTGAAAGTCACCGTCTGCTCAGGACGCGCCGATGTCGGTGCAGTTAGTTGCACTCGTTCCACGAGACGAGGCTCCACGAGACAACGTATCTGACGCTGTTGCGACAGACGATGAGGCGGGCACCGACTCCGTCAGGAGACGCTGCTGCCACGCGATGGTAGCTGGCGACAGCTCCGGAGGAGTCCGCCTGTGCCGCAACGCTCGGAGGTAAGCCTTCACCTCCTCCCTGCACGTTGCCTCCAGCAACTGCAAGAACGACAATCGATCAACACCATCATCATCATCCGATGAACGGTGCGACCGATTCCCTTCGTCTTCCGACAAAGAGGACGACGACGACGATGGAGACGGCGACGACGGGCCGGTGGGGGACGCTAGGACGTGTTGGTCTTCGTCCTCCCCTTCGGGCTCGAAGTCGACGAGCTGCTGTTGGTCCCCCTCCTCTTCCTGGAAGTGAGCCTCTTGTTTTTTTCTCGATTTTTTCCTGTTCCACATGATGGCAACTGCCGCAAGGTAGTGCCACCACCGCACAAAGAACTCAACAAACACACGTAACGCCGCTGACGCCACTATGAGACTGTTGTCTCCAGGTTCGCGTGTGAGCAAGTTCCCTTAGGGATGGGCGGTGTGGATACACACCGGATCAACCTCTGGTGGAGAGGCTGATGTACGGAACGTTGAGTCGAGTGTGTGTGTGAGGCAGGTGGGGATCGGTTTAGTCCAGTATGTACTAAACGTACTGTCCCAGTATTTACTACAGTACGGGCCCTACTGTACTGTACTGGGGGTTTAGTATGGGTCTCCATACTATACTAAGACCAACAATACGTTTAGTACAAGCTCTCATACTGTACTAAACCAATACTACGCCATAGTACAGCCCTCCATACTGTACTATACTGGGGGCTTAGTATGGCATTTTGGCCGGTACTGTGCTAGCCTTAGTACAGTAGTACTCAGCTCTTCCATACTGTACTGTACTATGATTTTAGTACAGGTCTCCATACTATACTAAGACCAATAATACGCTTAGTANTATACTCTTATACTGTACTAAACCAATACTACGCTATAGTACAGCCCTCCATACTGTACTATACTGGGGGCTTAGGATGGCATTTTGGCCGGTACTGTACTAGCCTTAGTACAGTACTCAGCTCTTCCGTACTGTACTGCACTATGGTTTTAGTACAGGTCTCCATACTATACTAAGACCAATAATTAATACGTTTAGTACGGGTCTCGATACTGTACTGTACTGTGGGTTTAGTACAGGTCTCCATACTATACTAAACCTAACAATGCGTTTAGTACGGGTCTCCATACTGTACTATGAGTTTAGTGCGGGTCTCCATACTGCTGTACTAAACCAAGCAGTACTGCAAGCAGTACTAGCCGACTTCCACCAAAGGGCGTGTCTCCCTGCCAAATTCACCGGAAGAAACGACGACCTCCTCAATGCAGAGATCTCAAACACCACGCCTCCCCATGAGGATGACGTCGGCGTTGGCGAGTAGTCGCGTGTTAACTCTGACCAGTATTGAGGGTTAGGATTAGGACGCGCTGCTGTAGTGACCAGTGACGATTACAACTACTGCAAATTCGGAGGGACGGGCCGGTGGAGCATCGGGGCTTCCGGGGGGGGGGTTCCGCGTAGTGTAGATTTATATTGATATACAATGGCGGTAGGCNTGGTGTAAACTCTGACCAGTATTGAGGGTTAGGATTAGGACGCGCTGATGTAGTGACCAGTGACGATTACAACTGCAAATTCGGAGGGACGGGCCGGTGGAGCATCGGGGCTTCCGGGGGGGGGATTCCGCGTTAGGTCTAGGAAAGGTCTCCATGCTGTACTGTTGTGCACTTTTGGACTTAGTACGGGTCTTCATACTGTACTGTACTGTGGGTTTAGTACGGGTCTCCATACTGTACTAAACCTAACAATACGTTTAGTACGGGTCTCCATACTGCACTCAATCCAGCAGTAGGTTTAGTACAGGTCTCCATACTATACTAAGACCAATAATACGTTTGTACTGGGGCCGGGATCCCCGGGGAGATGATCGCCGTCATCCGCAAGTTCCACGTCGGAATGCGGGCCCGGGTCCGCACGGACGATGGGGAGCTATCNCTCCATACTGCACTCAATCCAGCAGTAGGTTTAGTACAGGTCTCCATACTATACTAAGACCAATAATACGTTTGTACTGGGGCCGGGATCCCCGGGGAGATGATCGCCGTCATCCGCAAGTTCCACGTCGGAATGCGGGCCCGGGTCCGCACGGACGATGGGGAGCTATCGGACTGGTTCCCGGTCACGCAGGGA